GAGAGAGAGGGAGCGAAATAGTGAGAGAGAGAGAGTGAAATAGTGAGGGGGAGAGAGAGAGAGAGCGAAATAGGGAGAGTGAGGGAGCGAAATAGTGAGAGAGAGAGAGTGAAATAGCGAGGGAGAGAGAAGGAATGAAATAGTGGGGGAGACAGAGACGGGAGTGAAATAGTGAGGGAGAGAGAGGGAGATAGCGGGAGAGAGGAGTAAGAGACAAGGAGTGGGGAGAGACATAGCAAGAGGGGGAGGTAGACAGACAGCAACAGGGCAGGAGGGAACACAGGAGGGGAGAGACAGAGAAAGTTAGTGAGAGGGAGGGACAGAGAGAGAGATTGTGTGTGAGAGAGAGAAAGGGAGGCAGAAAGGGAGCGGGAGAGAGAGACATTGGAGATAGTGAGCGGGAGGGACAGACAGAGAGAGAGGAAGATATATAAGTGACAAAGCAAACAGGGCAATAGGGAACGAGTAGGAGAGACTGAGAGAGAGCTGTAGATCATAAGAGAAGGGGACACGCTGGAGAATTGATCAAGAGGGAGTGAAGAGTTGAGAGAAAGAGAGACAATAGAGCAGGACATACAGACAACCACATACAGAGGCAGCGAGAGAAAGACAGACAGAGAGACAGTGATAGAACGAGAGAGAGAGACAAACAGAGAGAGAGGAGACAGAGAGAGACAGCGATAGAACAAGAGAGAGACAAACAGAGAGAGAGGAGACAGAGAGAGACAACGATAGAACAAGAGAGAGACAGACAGAGGTGGGGGGGAAGAGACGGAGAGACAGCAATAGAACGAGAGAGAGAAACAGACAGAGAGGGGGAAAGAGACAGACAGAGACTAAGAGACAGCAGCAGAGTGATAGATAGTGGGACCAAAGTTGAGAAAATCCAGTACAGGGAGTGACAGAGGGGAGACGCAGAGAGAGAGAGAGCCAGACAGACAGACAGAGGAGAACAAAAAGAGGGTGAGGGGTACAAAAAGAGGGGTGAGGGAGAGTGAACGAGACAGGGCAAAACAGAGAGAGAGACAGGGAGAGGAAGACCGAGAAACTGAGGGAAGAGAAGTGTGAAAGAGAGAGAGACAGAAACTGAGGGAAAATAGAGAGAGAGACAGAGCGATAGATAGTGAGGTGGAAGGAGAGAGGGTGAACAGTGATAGAGATAAGTGAGTATACGATAGTGAGAGAGAGAAAAACAGATAGAGAGAGCAAGGAACACAAGGAGGGCATTTGGTAGGAAGCCAGGGATTTGGAGTGGAGGCTGAGAGCAGGAAAACTGGGGAGAGCAGAGGGGTCCATTCTTGGAGGGGGTGGGCTGGGGAGTAGGGAGATGACGTTCGGCATACTGTCTGTGTTGGCAATCTGCCTATGGGGCCTGGCCCAAAGTGAGAGAGCAGGCCGTGCCACACAGCAACGCCTGGTCGGATGGGGGGCGCCACTGAGCCCCGGGGTCACTGGGAGACTCCCCACCCCAGGCCCAACCCGGAACCTTCCAGAAAGAGGCAGCCCGCGCCCTGGACGGCTGAGAGAGACCCCGAGAACCACCCCCAGCACCCGACTGGATGAAGGTAGGCCAACCGTGGTCCTCCAATTCAGCGGCTCGGCCTCTCGAATTGGGGCTCACGAGCAGCTCAAGGAGTGGGGGGGGGAGCGGGGGCTGAATAGCCTCTTGTTCCTATGTAACAGGCTCTGGAGAGGGCTAAATGGCCTCTTGTTCCTGTGTAACAGGCTCTGGAGGGGGCTGAATGGCCTCCTGTTCCTGTGTAACAGGCTCTGGAGGGGGCTAAATGGCCTCCTGTTCCTGTGTAACAGGCTCTGGAGGGGGCTGAATGGCCTCCTGTTCCTGTGTAATAGACTCGAGGAGGGGGGCTGAATGGCCTCCTGTTCCTGTGTAACAGGCTCTGGAGGGGACTGAATGGCCTCCTGTTCCTGTGTAACAGGCTCGAGGAGGAGGGGCTGAATGCCCTACTCTTCCTGTGTAACAGGCTCGAGGAGGGGGGCTGAATGGCCTCCTGTTCCTGTGTAACAGACTTGAGGAGATGGGGGGGCTGAATGGCTTCCTGTTCCTGAGAGGGATACAGGGAACGGGGAGAGGGTTATAACTGGCAGAGATACAGAGGGAACGGGGAGAAGG